AGGGCCGAGGAGGATAAGAGGTCCATTCTATAATGCAGATGATTATCCCTCTCTGCCGGTTGATTACGGACACAGGACGGGGAGAAGCACACGATGTTTTGATTTGTGTCATTTTAATAAAAGTATGTTAGATAATGAAAACAAGAGACACATTAGCAAAATGTTCTTTAAGGTTGTTGTCCACAGACAGTAGTGGCTCATCTGCACGGACCGGTAGTTCAGGTTGGTGCAGCTGTACTACAGACTGTTTAAAGTCTGAACACTATTGGACTTCTGCCAGCAACACATCCATGTCCAATAGGTCCAAAATCATGGGCATGATTCTTTTTATTTTAAAGAAAAGGTGAAATTGCACAGAGCATTAGTATTAGTATCGGTTCGATTGTTGGGACCATGATAAGACTCCCTCACTAATATACATTTATAATGCTGTGAAAAATCTTCAAACCCCCCAAAAATCATTACATGTCGTGTGACATTAGCTGTCACGAGGCAGCGGGTGAGTGTGAGTGGTAAACAAAAAACATGTCCCCAAGATCAGTGTGGCCACATCGGTGTGTTATGATCGTCACTGTGAGCATTTAGTGCTGCGGCCTTGCAGAGCTACTAGCGTGGCGACTGCGTCTTGTGGCGGTCGATGGCACAGAGAAAGAAGCCCCGCCCACATTACGTTTCAACGGATGAGGTCACTGTTGTTGTTTTTTTATTGGGTCCTTTCATGGGATTATTTGTCACTAAAGAAAGTAGACATGCTTTTACCATTAATCAGAGGAATATGGAGCAAATATATGTGACATGCTACATTTTTGTTTCTCCTCCGGCTCCAGCTTTGAAACCCCCCCGCGCACTGTTGGCGCTTGGACAAAGAGAAGTCAAACTCACAATGGTACCTGGCAGCAGTTTGTGCCCGAGTATCCTTTTGTTCCAGCAGGTCAGCCTCAGAGACTTTCAGAACAACAATGGGGGCCGTTTGGGTTACATTTAGTGTGTCATGGCCTCTGGGCACACGCAGCAGAACGATCCACTGGGTCTTAAATTTCACCTTTTTTCTGATCTGGCTGTGCCAGTTCGTTGTATCCAAGGCACCCAGACATTTTATTTCCCCAGTGAAAGTCAGTGAAAACCACCCAAATCCAGTCAACTAGTGCACACCGCCAGTTCTGTTGATTCATTATCAAGACCAACCCAACTCCAAATCCAGTAAATAGACCAGGCCCAAGTCAAGACCAAGTCCAAAAGGCGGTACTGACCAGATCAAGACCAAGTTAGGCAGAAGCGTCTTTCCTGTGTGAATACAGTGGTATAAGAGTTGCAATTGCCGAGATAAGACCGGGGCAAGACCTCAGAAAAGTGGACTCCAGATTGACTCGCGTGTTACAGCCCTCTTCGACATACCACCTCTTTTTGTTTGCCTCTTTCACGTCGCGGCGTTCTTCCCGCTTCAAACCCTGGGCCAAAACGCCACAGGCTGCTTCTCAAGGGCCGCTGAGCTTCAGAGCCCACTGGCATTACACAACTACTTGAGCAGCCACTCGACGCTCGGCTCTCCGGAGAGACGAAGACGCAGCACCTGAATGGTCCCATTTCCTTTGTGTCCTTCCCGACCAGAGTCTCACCGAGAGAAAACGTCATTTTGAGATTGAATTTACCACATGTTGCTCCCACAAAACAGGACCCTTTCTCCAACATGTCCTTCTTAGCGACACGTTCTTCAATCCTGTGATGCCACTAAAACACTCGGCTTAGAAACCACCAAGATGTGGTCGAACACAATTAAGAAATATGGTTAGCAGTCGCTGTGCCCTTCACCAGTGTTTATCCTCTTCCTCCCGTTGGCCTGGTATCAGTTAGAACTAATCCGTTGGGAGGCTTGTAGGATGACCAGCGTACAGCAACAACAGCTGGCGTTCAGACCGGTCGGCCGGATGGAAGCGGGGCTGGGGGCCCAATGGGAGCGTCGCGGATGCTGGTTTGAAGGCGTTCTTAAAGATTGGGGGCATTGGGCTCTCTGCATTGGCCTTTCAGATGCCCCGGTCCGGCACCAACAGGGTCCGCTTGACTGCATCCCGACGGCCCATCTGGTCCATCGGCGGGGGGGGGGGGGGGGAGGGGTTGAAACCTCTCCTTGAAGCACCCATTGTGAATCTGGGGCGTCTGGGAAGGAAACGGATTCCTGCAAGGACGGTATAATCCCCACTCCTGCTGGAAGGACTGGGGGTGGGGTGTGTGTGTGTGTTTGTGTGTTGGGGGGGGGGAACTCTAATGTCACCCCACTAAGAAGTCAGAAACACAATGGAATTCACTCTCCCAATCCTATTGTCCATGGGCCGGGGAACTGGAGAACCATAGACACCACATGACTCTGCGGATTATAAGACACGCGCGCTATCGCCGCTCAAATGTTTTCCCGTTGCCATTAAAGAAATGTACCCCCCCCCCCCCACCTGCCTCGGATGATCAATAAAAAAGTCATTTGTTCGGGGGATTGGAGGAGCTGTGCACGCAGCTGAGTGAAGCAGCAGCAGCAGCTGCTCTGACTCTTGTAGACAACTACAGGAAGCCGAGAGAAATAAAGAATTCATGAGAGGGTGTATGTCTACCTCACGGCGTATGTCAACGGGCAGAGCCCACATCTTTGGAGAGAGAGGCACTGGATTTACATTCCTCACAGCCATGCAAAACGGCCTGACATGTGGCGCGAGGGGCAGACATGAGCGGAAAAGCACCACCTTCCATGCACATAGAGCCAATGTGTTCCTAACAAAAAGGGAGCAGGGTCCGACCGGCGGCTTTCCTCTGCGAGCCCAGCGGGCGAGACCTTAAATAGGACGCCTGTCGGCAGCAGCAGAGCCTTGATGACGTATTCAGGACAAACACGAAAGGGGAAAGGGAGATGAAGGGAGCTCAATCACCTCGCCGGCGACCCGCGGCTCCGCCGCTCGATGCGTCACTGTCACACAGGTGGCCACTTCATCTCAATCAGCCGTCTCCCAGCGCCCGCCTACCGGACTGGAGTATCGATGGCTCCTCGGAATCGACATGGGGGTGGGGGGGGGCACGGAAGGTGCTATTGAGGGGCATCACTGCACTATGGCTTTGAAGGCGGATATTGGGTCTTTGAACGTGGGGGTGTACGAATTACTTGGCCGTCAATCACCCACAGCCCATGGAGGTCGGTGCACCACCCAGTTGACAGCAGGCACAAGCAAAGCGACAAAGACGCCCGCCGAACAGATTCTAGGCACCTAAAACAAAGTCCGATGACAAGAGTGTGTTGGTTGACACAAAAACACCCTTCAAATTGAGGCAGAAGAAGCCAAACAACCCCCATGTCCTGCCGAGTGAAAAGGGCCCGGGTTTTTCCATCTGTGCTTTTGGCGAGCGCTTAGATGATATAAAACAGCCGTCTCACTATTCTAAATACAGCGTGCACGTAAACGTCGCCGGTTGCAATGCTGTGGATAAGTACCTCACCGTAAGTAACTTTTACCGTCCCTTTAAATGTGCCGCCCTTATTTATAGGAGGCCTTTCCGAGGATCAATCTGCAGTGGCCCCGTATAGACGCCGTAGCAACGCGCTGTCCAGCTTTCCAAGAAACGCTGGGCTGCACCTTCGCTGTTGGGGGGAAACAACTAGAAGGGACAAGACAGGGGATTCTGACTAACAAACAGGCTATGCAGAGGACGGACAGCAAGTCAGCTGATTTCCTTCTTCTTGTGGATAATGGACTGTTGTATTAAACCCAACAGGTCAACATGTGGATAGATACAGAAGAGACGAGTGGGTTGTGGTTGCATGCCTTAACATGTCGATCAAAATACTTCTTGTACCCTGTCGTATTGGTGTCAATGTGTGGCCCTGCACCAAGGTGACGATATTTTAAGTCGCCTTCAAACAAACGTCCTCTGCAGCAGTTTGTCCTTGTGCCAGCGAGGGGCTGCCAGTTAAAGAGGGACGTGTGGCTCCTGAACCGGCCTTGAATATTTAACGTTTCCCTCCACCTCGCGGCTGACACCGGGGTGACTGTAACACAAGCCCGCTACATTCAACCACCAAGCCTCCCATGACTCAACATAGACCCCACCTGAGCCTCACAAACAGGAAACCATTGCGTGTGTTCGGGCAATTTCTGATTGGTAAACAAATAATGATTTGATAACTAGCCAAACTACTTTCTACGGTCTTCTGTTTAACTTGGTCTTCTACCAGTGTGCATTGGTGGAGTAACTATAACCCTAAAACAGTAAGTAAGAACATTTATTAAGTTCTATGATGTGCAAAGTAAGATTTTTAGGGCACATTACTTTATTACTATTAGTTATTTTGACCATCTTAACTTCAACTCTCCTACAATTCAGAAGGAAATGTTTTATTTTGTTGTCAGTATGTAATCTTTTTACTGGTGTATTTTAGAGAAAAACATAGTGATTACATCAGTTCCTAAATATTTTGAATCTGTATCCGTGTATTTGGGGCTCCTCGTCGTGTTGCGCTAAATGATGTAGTTCCACCAAGAAAGGCTTTGCCCTCTTAACCCGCTTTACTTTCAATAAAAACGTTCCAATACGTCACCAGAAAGCAAACTCCCAATAAACCCCCCGAGGTCGTACTCATATCTGAAATGTCAGTCATTCATGTGCATTCAAGCATGGCAGGTGTTATGAAATGTATTGAATTGCATCGTGTGAGCTGTGCCTTTGCAGTTTTTGGAGCTATTTTCAAACTTGAGGCTGAAACCTGCGGCTCTTTGGGCCCCTGCAGCTTCAATTGGTTTTTTTTTGCAAAATACACCAAATTTAAGTGAGTGTAATAGTTAATCCCTCGTCAGGGTATTTCAACCACAGACCTCCTCCCACTTCCACAGGTACCATAGAGAGCCAATGAGAGCTCCTTCTGAAGCCCCCCCGCCGTGGATCTACACGCGCACACCTGTACGGCCCCCCCGATGCGCCCATTTGACGCCGCGGCGCTAATGAAAAAGAAAAAGTTGGGAACTCACCTGTAGCTCGTTGTTATTGGCCATCACGTGCCGGGCAAGCGGCCAATTAGATGGCGACGCCAGGAGACTTGGACTAATGTTGGCGGCACTTTCCGGCGGCCGTCAGATCATCGCGGAGTTCCCGGTCCAGCTCCTCCGGTGGTCAAACGCAGGCCGTCCGGCGTGCGGTGAATCCCGGCGCGCTCCCGGCGAAATGCGCAGTTTCACGCAGAGAGTTGCACGAGAAGTGAAAGGAACGCACTGTTAAAAATCACCGCGACGCGGCGGCAGGTGAGAGAAGGAGACCATCACCTCCTGGCAGCGGGGCGCCAACTCCTGGACTCCGATGTGCATCACGCGTCGCGGTCCGTCCCGTGGTGGCGCGCTGCGGGCGGTCCCCGCGTGCTCGGGCGGGAGAACATTGCGAGGAAACCCGAAACCCCGGCGGGATTCACGCGCGCGGATTACCGGTGGACGCTGAGGCCATGTTTCACCACCACCACCCCCCCTCCCCCGGCTGCGGTGCACTCCTGCTCGGCGGAAAGCTGAGAGCCGGTTGAGCGATGCTGGGGAGGAGGGGACGCGTGTAGAGTCACAACACCGACGCGGAGTGCTACTTCCGGTTATGACCTTCAAAATACAACCTGTGTGGGTATCTGGCTGAAGTACGTTTTAGAACGGGCGGAGATGAAAACGTGGGCTTTTAAGATGTTATTAAGAGAGTTATGAGTCGGATACAGAACCCTCATAGAAAGAAAGAAGTCACCGACAGTGTGTGTGCTCAACACATTACCGTCCGTCGACGTGGTGCTTTTATCTCAACGCATGTTTACCTGCGATGGAATGCAGCAGGTGTTGTAAAGAGTGAATTACAGGCCAACCTTTAGGGACGACGGGGGCTGGTGAACCGCTGGAGGGCGCTGCTGTCACACAACAACAACGGCCCCGCGGTGGAGCGGCGATGCCGTGACGTCACTTTTCTCTGACAGACGTGTTGAAAAACGTCTCCTCCGCCGGCGGGCAAGGCATCGGAATAGAGGCGATCCGACAACCGATACACTCAGTTCTTTATTTTGAAATCGGCACCCTTCTTCCGGTGCGGTGACTGCGGCTCTCTATGTCCAGCCTGACGCAGCTGTAAATGGGGCGCAGATGTCTGCGGCAGCCCCCCCCCTTCAACCCGGGACCTGTTGATCACGTTTACCGTTTACCAGCCCTGCAACCTCCTCTGCTGGTGAAGCGGCCTCAATATTCAACATTTCTATAGATTTATTCTTGTTTTTGAGAACACGCAGAAAGGCATTGGAGATCCGTGCAAATCTCGGCCCCTACTCAGCCTGCACAGCTCAACTGCCCTGTTGGATGGATGGATGGATGAATGAATGGAGGCCTTATGGCCTCTGGAGGAATTTGCCATGCACAAGACGACTGTGGCAACAATATGACCACTGTGTCTCCGGATTCTCTTGCAGGCGGAAAAGGGAGAAACGCCCCAAACATATTCACTAACTGACTAACAAGTGTTTGTTGCTGTCAATGAAATGGTTGTTACAATGTGGCCTTTTCCCCTTTAGAAGGTACATTACGTTAAAATACTGTCGACAACCTTGTTGTTTGTCTTATGTGGCTTTCCTGCTGCATTGCAGGAATTTTGTTTGCGACCCAAATTTCCCTCCATAAGACCGTAGCAATTCATTGTGGATTTCATTGACCTTTGACCCTCAGAGGTTAAAAACTGCCAGATCCAGAAAAGAAAGAAGTGAGTATCCAAAGCAAACTGTTAAATACAGGGCTCAGAATTAAGTAGTGAAGTATTGTATGGAGTAAGTACGGATCTCAGATCGTTCATCTCAAAATACTCTCTTTTAAAAGTATTATTAACACAATGTACTAAAGAGTATTAACAGCACTCATTCTGCAGAGAAGCGGTCAGAGTTACTGATAATATATTTGACACTCTTAGCTTGTTAGTGGTGACTCAATGCTGTTTTTTAAATATTTTATATGGGTTGATTATTTGTGTGGCGGTTCTCAATCTAGGGGTCCGGTTCCCTCTACGGGTCACAAGATAAGTTTATGTGGGACCATCATGTCTAATGACGTTGGAGAGATGGAAAAAGTGTGTTAAGTGATGATACACAAACTATTTGTTAATTTGACCTCATGGGGCGACGAGCAGCTATTTGCAGTGAGAGAAAGTCATTCTTAAAATAATAAATATTCAATTATTACTTTGACAAACTATGTTTGGTCAAGTATCTCCAGTAGCTTATTATTGCTAATGTTCACAAACATTAGACTGATATTGTCAATTAGAGTCCGGCGATGAGCATACCGGCCCGGGTCCGGCTCGGCTGCCGCCTTCGACCTGCAGCAAGAGCGCCGCAGAAACAGAACCACCAGTGAGAGCCGGTTGCCCGACGCCTGCTGCCGTAGAATGAGAGGTTTGCTGAATTCTGGAGTTGGAAACTACCATCTTTGTCCACAGGGACACCAGCTATGATTCAAAGTCAAAGTGCCTTTAGAGCGTTTTAGCTCTAACAGACATTACTGAGGTCGTTTGCTGACTCTTTTCTAATCATGCTACGTTTTCATAAGTATCCATTAGTTTGCTTTTGAGGCCGTGATATCGGAAGTTAGAGGGGAAATCTCCTCTCGGTGAAACTGTTAAAACAACTCATGGACCTGACAAAGATCCCATTGATGCCTTTTTGTTGAAAATAATCAGAATCACCGGTTTAATATATTGTGCTTTATAAGGTTACCAAATGTTTTCTGCGTAAGCTCTTTATCAAAATAAAAATCTGCAGCTACCAAAAATAGAGGAATGGAAAGTACGTGTTTAGAAGGGTTATGCTATACAATGAAAAAGCTCAGTAGTACTTAGAAGTTAATGTGCTTAGTGAGTTTGCACAACTGAACACTGTCATTGTCAAACAGCGTATATTTCTGCGCACGAAAGACAGCAGTTAATCATTCACCTTCCTTTGTGTCGGGTGTTCTGTAAAAAAAATGAATCCCCCCGTCCCAAATCCTTTAAACATATAAAAAAAAAAAGTTTTCCGTACATGTGCAATAATGTTACTTCCTCCATGTTCAGTGCAACATAATATTCCACACACTAATAGACAATGAGTCTGTTACTCTTTATTTTTCCACATAAAGTAACATAAAAAGTTGTACACAATCTCTAGATCCATCAATTTTTATTTAATATTGGGAGTGAATTTTGGCACAACACAAGAAAAGTTTCTGCAATACAAAAGACCACAAATATCCACAAAACAATTGCATCGTATGAACCTTGATGTCAAAGTTGCACAAAAATACAAACTTAAAGGAACGAGGCACTGTTATATTAAAACAATGTAGGCGGAAATAAAGGTTATAAATGCATGCATTATTATTGTTGATTGTGCATAGCTATATATAGATATATAGAAACTGTTTGATATTAAAGCAGCAAAGAGCAGCAGTGGCCATACGTTAGATATCCTTTAACAAAACATGCAGTGTGACTGCAGTATAAATTGTCACCTGATTTAGAAAACTATTGTCTGTACATGCTGCTTTGAAATGTCATAAATATTAGCTTGAGATCCACGTAACTCCTGTGTCATATAAAATTGTGCATATTACTCATAGCAGCAGTGAGGAACAGTAGGTGAAGGCTAAAATACATGTAGATCCATCGGGTGTCCCCCTCATGCAGCCCACAGGTGGCGGTGCTGCTTTTTAGCATTTCTACGCGCTTTGTCTCCTGCAGACACAAAGAGGCAGACACAGGTGTACCTCTTTGTTTCCTCCTTCTCTGCCAGCATGACATTTGAAAAATCACAGTTACCGATATAAGCTATCCTGATAAGTTTAAAGCATTTTGGATATATTGCACAAAAAATACACACACGCAGGACGGAGTTATTTCATACTGAATACATAATACATACTGAGCACGGGCCGTTGGTGCTCGACTGGCAAAACCCCTCCTACCCCCCCTCCCCCCTCCCCGGAGAGACGCATTGTCTCATCTCAGACGTCCTCCTTTCTCTCCCGCCATGACATCATCGGTAACCCAGGAGACCTCCTGAATGCCGGGCGACCCGGGACGTGAGGTTACAACTTAGGAATGCAGGAGGGAAGACACCAGTAACCCCACAACCCCCCCTCGATTTCAGCCCCCTCCTAACCATCCCCCTTCTTGCAGCAAACAAGGAGGGCCCTCTTCTTTCTCTCCTTCTCCCTCCATGACAGACACTTCAAGTCCACGAGAACCTGCCAGTGGACTCACAGCAACACTGACGGACCAGAGACGAGTGCACGTAGGTTTGTAGGGATTAGGAGGGGGGGGGCATATTGGAGCATCACTCCTATTTGTACACACGGTCGCAATAAGGATTCTGGAGGTTGTTAAATCCACAAACATGAAAACCGTTTAACAGTGGGGCCACTTACCTGTGTAAATACTTTGGCCTCACACAATAAATAGAAGAAAAACTAGTGCAATTTGTCATAGCTCGGCCTCTCGCTGGAGAGGGTGACCAACGTCTGGTCTCAGTATCTGGTATGGACACATATAAAAGGCTCACACCACACGACCACAGTGTTTCTCAGACGGTCACAGTGCACTGGGGCGGGAGAGTGAGAAAGAGGACTTGCTATGAAGCGCCTCTGGTAAGGAAGCATGCTTTAGTGTGAGGGGACAGCGTGAGATATAAATGACTGGGTGACTCGGTGCTACTACGGTGTATTTACTCTAACGGCACAAAGGATGTTGAAGTGAAATCAATTGTGTGGGGTCACGTGATGATGAGACGTGTGAGGGCTACTCTGATCCTAAGAATCCCCGTGTGGCTTCAGATATGATTAACAGTCATAAGCATGGTTAAAGGAACAGTTTGACATTCATGGGAAACTTTCTTTCTTGAAGATTGTGCGAGCAGCAAGTTAGCTTAGCTTAGCATAAAGACTGGAAGCCTCGCTCTATTCATTACTAACAAAATGCAATTCTAAAGCCAATGATTAACAAAGGTTTTTTCTAGTTTTTATTGAAGAGGAATCCAAGTTACTTCCTGGGGTCCATATAAAACTGCACTTTGTTTCTTCTACACTTGGGTTAATGAATTAGCTTAAGAGGTGCTGGTAGTTTGAGTTTGCTGCTAGCTCAGAGCTAGTTGTTTTGTGACCTAACTATTTTTCTATATGCTAAGCTAAGCTAACTGGATGCCCACTAGCTTTACGCTAACCTTCTACTAGCAAGCGTCATTTCCCAAAATGTAGAACTGCTCCTTTTAAAATCAACTCATTGATTTGTTGGTGAACTCGTCGGTGGTCGCTCTTCAGTGCTGAGTCTCCACCTCCACCACAGTCCAGTCCCCGGTGGGGGAGCTGCCCCGGCTGTCGGGGGAGTAGCTGCTGACGGAGGTGACGGTGGCAGCAGGAGGGCGGACCTGAGGCAGCAGAGGCCACATGCTGCTCTCCAGGGGGCTTAAGGTGCCCCCGGTCCCCACGGGGAGGAGGAGGAGGGGAGGGCAGCCTCCGTCCCCAGACAGCATCAGGGTCTGGTTTATCAGCTGCTGGACCATGTCTACCTTCCTGTTCCACTCCAGCTCCTGTGGGGGGACCGGACGTAGCTGCCTCTGGAAGTCCTGCGCCCCGCCCCGGGAGGACGCCCCCCTCTTCCCTGCCACCTGCGCGTTCCTGTTCTTCCCTCCTTCTGCGGACTCGTCCTCCTCGTCGCTGGTTTCCATGGCTTCATAGATGGTGCAGAGCCCCGAGGACGGGGACAGCATGACCCCGGTCGGGCTCCTCCTCAGCTGCTGCTGCTGCTGGATCTGCTTCTGCTGCATGCGGTACTGCTGCTCCAGCTCCAGCTGCCACTGCAGGACCTGCCGGCGGTGCCGGTGCTCCTGTTGCTGCTGCTGCAGCTGCAGCTGGAGGAGCTCACGCCGCTGCTTCTCCAGCTGCTTCTGCTGGTCCAGCCTCAGGCGCTCCTCCTCCAGCCACTGCCTCTTCTGCCTCTCCTGTTCCTGCCGGTGCTGCATCTCTCTCAGCTTCCCCTGGTGCTGCTCCAGCTTCCTGAGCTGGTCTCCACTGGCGCCAACGTTGGTCTCTATCAGAGGAGAAGGGGGAGGAGGAGGAAGCGCCATCTTGGCAAAATGGGCGGCAACAGTGGGGTCAATGGGCCTCCTGTTGCCTGGGACCAGGGCCAAGTAGTGGCCGTTGGCTATGGGAACGGCGGCAGTGTGGTTCTGGTTGCGGTTGTCTTCCCGCGAGTGCGATTGCTCTTCAGCAGTCTTCTCGTCTCCTGTGAGACAGTCAAGATCACTTGGTGCATCCATTAGAGATGCATGCATCAAACAGAACGGTTGGTACAAGAACAGGGACCAGGAAGTAGAGGGTTCAGGAGGAGACTTGACAAGACAGCTAAAGGTGCAACGACAAAAAAAAAAGGGAGAACAGGAGCTCTCAAAATAAATCAACATCCACGACATAAGAAATATACACATACTGTATCCACAACGCAGGAAACGGAGACAAATCATAAGGTAGTTCCTGCATGATGTTTTCTCTCTGTTGCAAGTTCTTTAATATAACCATATTTCCTTTGATTTCCATTGTGTAAACTGGTACCACGCTCGTATCTTTGTCCTCTATGAATACGTGGGTCATCATGCACGACAGCGGTCATATGCATACAAGGTACAACACAGACATTTAAAGAAACAGATGAAAACATGGAGGACTGGACCGACAACAACATGGCAGGAGGAGACTCCACCAAGATAATGTAAGGTATAAAATGCACTCGTGTGGTGGACCTATGTAAATCCTTTTAAAGGGAAGCAGTGGTGGCCCAAAACGCACAACTGAAACAGGACATGGATGGATATTTTGAAGTTTAGAAAACTGCCACCTGGTTGTATTAGCTTTGTATACAGGGCTCTGGAGTCAGAGGTGAAAGGCACAAAATGGAAAAAGAGTTGCGTCTTCTTGAGCTTTAACAATTAGAAGCATTTGAGCGGCCTGTACACGAGGTGGGGGGGCTGCTTCAGTACATCTGTACACACGTTCAACATGTCCCGATGCAACGGTTTGGACCAACTTCCGAAAAGTATTTTTGGTACTTATTCCAACAAATCTCCAGAAACACGGGTCAATGTCTACTCGCAACATGCATGGAGAAAGTAACCATCCATCTGTGCAGGAGTCAACTTAGCAAAGTTTGGGTAACGTACTTAGTCGGGTCTGTTAAAAGCATGTAGATGAATAGCTAGGTTTAGAAAACGATCAGGAAATTATTGTTACCGGTTAAAATAAGTACGGAAGAGCCATTACTGAAGTGAAGAAGTCACACGATAGATGATTCCACATTATACAAACAGTGGAAGGGCTGACCTGACCTTTAGTGGATTACACAACGCTCACAAACACTAAAAATGTGTGCGTGGGTGCAGACCGATCACACCAGCTTCCCTTCTGTTGAAAGCCCTTTTATTTCTCTCCAGGGTCAATTTCCTGCCAGATTTCTGCTTAAGGCACCCTGGGGTCATTTTGAGAGGTGCTAGTGCTATGGAGCAATAGTTCGACCAGCGGGTTCCTGTTTTGTTTGCATGAGCGCACGTCTGCAGCGACCTGCATGTGATGTTTGAACTATGAACTTGTGTGGAATCTGAAGCTGTCATGTCAGCATGCTGGAGAACAGGACACGGGGACACCATTCGGATTACCTCTTTAATTTCACCCAAAATTCCATTTTTAATACAACACCATTGTGCAATGTCGCATCACTTCCTGTTTTACCGGTTTTCCCACAGTGAAGAGTAGGAGAGGCCGTGGGAAATGCAATCGTGTGAACACACAGAGACTCCAACACGAGACATGCTGGAAATAAGAAACAGGAACAGAATGCCTTGCAATGATGTTTTAATGGAATTTTGAAGGATAACCTAGTGTGAATCATTCATCGATGAACATGTCTAGCGTAGAATTGTTCCAAATCCAAGGTAGTACACAGTCTTTATGTTAGTTAAACATGCAATATACTGTTGAAATAGTAAACCAAACTCTCACTATATGAAAACGTTTTCAGCGAGTGATCATGACAACGCGTCTCATCACAGACAACAGGCTAACCGTCCGTCTCCTCTGGAACACCAATGATCAGCGGAGCCACTTGAAGCCAAACGCCTGAAACACATACTGTACGTGACTGCACGTTATCATACCTCAACGATCTATGCAAAAGAGCCTCTTGAAGCGCACATTCAAAACTTCACCGACTGCAATCTAATACTTCCCACAGCTACCTCAACAAATCTGCCGCGTTAATATCTAGCCTTTATTTTGATCGCTAAAAAAAACAAAAAAAAAACTCAAACTTTTTAAAAAGGAGCATTATGACTAACGCTATGGTGCTGCTGAATATGAAGCGTGTGTACACAAGGTGGGAAGGACCAGGTTTCAACAGAAAAAACAACAACAAATAAGCAAATACAAAACAAAAATCATTGACATTTGTTCGGTAAAAACAGTAGGATAAATACACAATGAGTCCATTTCATTCCATCTGTTTTTTCTTCCCGGTTTAAAAGCTCAGTCAGTGGACCAATCAGTCAATACCCCGACGGGGGCTACACAGTATGCAGTGTTTAAAAAGGAACCTTCTACTAGAAAATGGTAGTAGCTATTGTACATAAAGAAGTTTAAGCCAAACACTCACAACCATGACCATAACAGTATGAAAGAGGGAGGCTTCATTTAAAAATTGCTACAGTCTTTTTTTTTTTTTTTCTCTTCTCCTTTATTTTGAAATCTTTTCCTACAATCTTGTTCTTTCATTTTCGCACTTATGAGCCATCTAACCCAACTGGAGAGAAAACAAACAACAGGTAACAGGGGAGGGTTGCGGGGGAAAAGGTGCATTCCAGGAGGAAGAGGAGGGACTTATACGTTACCTGCCAGAAAACTATCAGTCTTATCACATATGGTGGAGTAGTAGGGCGGCTGGCCGTCGGCGCTTTCTCCAGACACCCCGCCCCCTAGGAGGCTGCCGGGCTCCAACGGATCGACCTCCTGCAGGTGGTCCGACGCCATCTCGCCCCCCAGCATGTAGCGGTCGTCGTCGAGACTGCCGGGCTGGTTGTCGTCCGGGTGGCCCAAAGGCACGAGGTCCACGGGTTTGCCGAACAGCTCCTCTGCGTGGAAGGCGGCGCCGGCGGCCGAGGGCAGGGTCAGCTCCTTGATGAGGGAGGGGTCCTTGGCCTCCTCCGGAAGCTGCTCCTCGTTCTCCAGGGAGAAGATCCCTGGGCTCTTCCCGCAGCTCTCGGCCATGGAGTGCGCGTTTGAGTTGGACGTGGTGCAGTCAAAGCCATACGACGCCACAGAGTTGGCCGACTGAGGGGTGGTCCTGCCGCCGTCTTCCTCGCCCTCTCCGGCCGGCGCGTCCCCGGCCTCCTCGTCCTCATCGAGGGCGGGCAGGCTGCGGGCGGGAGTGGGGCTTTCGAACCCCCCCGCGCGCTCGTCGGCTCCCGCCGGTGCGTCGGGATCGTTGATCTGCATCTCGCCCTCCGTGTCGCTGGCCTCGTCTCCCGAGGTGGAGGGAGAGGACGGGGCGGAGGCCGGAGCGGTCGGGGGTCCCATGCCGAGGACCTCGTCGGCCGGGAGCGTCTCCGCTTCCTCCTCTTCCCCGTCGCCTTTCTCCAGGTGGATGCCCAGGTCCTGCTCCATGTCCCCCTGGACCGAAGAGGGCACCGGGGTCTGCCGCTTGTCGGAGTGGGACTCCACGCCGGAGCTGCTGTCGTAGTCTTGCAGCTCCTCCGGGGTGCTCGTCTCGCTGCTGCTGTGGGGCGCCTGAGCCGCGGCGGGCTGGGACATGCCTGCGGTAGGGGACGGGACACGGGCCTCCTCGTCCCCTGAGCTTGTTGCCTCCTCATGGGCTGACTGATGCTGCTCATGCTCGGACTCGCCGGCGAAGGACGGGGCACCGCTGTCCACGCGCACCTGGGCGGGAGACAAGATTGGCGTCTCGGAATCGGCGACGCCGCAGTTGGACACAGGGCTGTGGGAGGAGACAGCGGGCATGGAGGACGGTTGAGCCCAGGTATCACCAAAGGGGTTGGACTGGCTCCAAGAGGAGGCGGGGGAGGCGCACTGCGGAGCGCCGCTGCGGTTGAGGTTGTCCAAGCGCTCCTCCTCGTGGAAGTCTTCCTCATCTACATTCCCACAGCTCTCCGTCACCCCCTCGCTGTGCATCTCCACGTCTTCGTCCTCCTCGTCCTCATCGCGCTCTTGTTGCTGGAACGCCTTGTGGTGCTCCTCCACTCTCTCCGAGCTCAGGTCCATGTCGTCCACCCGCTCCTCGTCCTCCTCATCCTCTTCCTCCTCGTTGGCCAGGGTTTCCACGTTGGGGGAACCCATGAGATTGCCGTCTCCCTCGGAGCCGCGCAGGCTGGAGTCGACCAGCGCGTCGGAGCTCTGGGTGCCCTCCAGCAGCGCGGTGTGCTGGGTGCTGCTGAGGTCGGACACGCCCTGCTGCCGGCTGCTGGTGCAGCTGCTCACGTCCTCTGAGTCCATTCCGGACAGCGGGTCGTCTGCGTGCCACGCCGCGGAGACGCCGAAGGCCGAGGGCCGCACCTGGAGCTCTTCAGAGGGCTGGGACGTGCTCATGTCCGTGACCAAAGATGAAGGCTGGTGGCCCAGTCTCCTCTGCTCCTCATCTTCATAGTCCTCCTCCTCCTCCTCCTCGTCGTCATCGTAATTTATCTCCTCATCTGCTTTTTCCACTGCCTCCTCCTTGTCCTGTGGGGAGATCAGGTCTCTGGGGGTGAGATCCCTCATGGGAGAGGCCATCATGTTGAAGGCCGTTGCAGATGGGGCTGCGGCAGTCGGCATGAACAAGTTCTCCTTCTCCTCTTCTTTTTCTTCTTCTACTACTACTACTTCTTCATCATCATCCTCTTCCTCCTCAAACTGTTTTTTATCCTCCTTTTCCTCTTCTGCATAGAAGTTCATGGTATTGACGAGGCTTTGGGGGGCGAAGTCAGACGGACCCAGGGCCTGGTGCTCACCCCAGAGATCGGGTTGGATGTTCATGTCTAGCAGAGAAGAAGCGCTCTGTGGCTCTCTGACGGGGGACACGGCGCCCGGTGGGGAACAAGGAGGAGACATGACAGTCGTCCCAAGGCAAGGAACGGATTCCTTGGCAGACTCCTCAAATTTAAAGTGGTCCATCTGAGGCGACAGCAGAGCATCGGATGCTGGTTCGTTGACTAGTTCAGCTCCGTGATCAGACTCTGGCTGAGACAGCGGCTCTGGAAGGGGCTCTGGAGATGGTACCCACGCTTGATCCGGACTTGGTTCGCGCACCAGTTCTGGTGTCAGAATCCGTATGGGTTCTGGTGTTGGTTCCCGTACCGGTAGGGAGACTGGTTCTGGTGTTGGTTCCCGTACCGGTAAGGCGACTGGTTCTGGTGTCAGAATCCGTATGGGTTCTGGTGTTGGTTGCCGTACCGGTAAGGTGACTGGTTCTGGTGTTGGTTCCCGTACGGGTTCTGGTGTTGGTTCCCGTACCGGTAAGGTGACTGGTTCTGGTGTTGGTTCCCATACCGGTAAGGTGACTGGTTCTGGTGTTGGTTCCCGTACGGGTTCTGGTGTTGGTTCCCGTACGGGTAAGGTGACTGGTTCTGGTGTTGGTTCCCGTACCGGTGAGGTGACTGGTTCTGATGTTGGTTCCCGTACCGGTGAGGTGACTGGTTCTGGTGTTGGTTCCCGTACCGGTGAGGTGACTGGTTCTGGTGCTGGCAGGTGTTCTTGCACTGCTCCGGTCGGGCTGGACAAGAGCTCTGCAGCAGGCGGTTCCGGCTCCTCCGGCCCTGCGACAGCCGCTGCCGCAGTAGCGATGGCTGCAGCCGCAGCAACAGCGGCAGCGATTTCCTTGACAGGTTCTGCTACATTCGCAGCTTTGGGTCCACGTTTCACTGGAGTCGGGGTGCTGCTGCCCACCGTTTTCTTCGGGGTGGCGGTCTTTGATGCGGCTGCTTTGGAGCCGGGGGTCCTGGGCGTGTCCCTGGCAGGTAAGGGTTTAGTGTCTGTTTTGGCGCGGCTGGGTGTCTTTGTGTCGGTGGCCTTACCGGGGGCAGGCTTTTTGGCAGCGGTGTCTGGTTTTGAGGCTGATTTGGGGGTCTCAGGTTTTGCCGACTTGGTTTTACTGGAGGAGAGAGGGAGGGGGGAGTCCGCAGGCTTTTTGGGTGCTGAGGTGCCTGGTTTGGTAACATCTGGGGGGAAAAGCACATCATTATAATAGGTTAAACTTAATTCTGTATAAAAACCAAACATGTATGCCCATTTGTGCATCACCTTTTTTCACAGGGGTGGTGTTCCTGGATGTCTGCAATGCTGGAGGTTTGCCACCAGAGGGGGTGGTGGAGGTTGGCCGGGCGGCGGCAGGCTTGGCGGTGGAGGTTTTCAGGGGGGTAGTCTTTGCTGCAGCCGGGGAGCTCTTGGCTGTGCTGGAAGTAGGCGGCCGGGTTGTGACAGGGCGAGATGACGTTGGTGTGCCGGGCGTAGGCCTGAAGAGACAAAACACAAACACGTAAGCTTGAGCGATAACGGAGAGGCGCTGCGGCACAGATACCTGGGGCTGAGAAACAATGCCGGTTAGGGATGTGCATACATATCGAACGCAGCTCGCAACTGTTGGTTAATTAAAGCCGACTTTCAGTCTTACAGCTTACAGCTGGGGTGGGGGGGGGCGTTATGTGCTGGTCAGCCTTGTACTGTAAGTGCTTAGACGTGGTTGTGAAAGGGAGTAAAGGACTTTGACCTGCCGTTGGTCAAGACACCTCTGCTGCCAGAGGACACACTCGGAAACGACACAAACATGAGGCTAAAAAACAATCCATGGGAGGATAAGAGGAGGATGTTATTAGCAGCCAAAGCCCTGGCCTAAATAGCCTTTCACTGACGTGGCATCAGCCCAAATCTAATGAGGACTTGTAAACATGGTCACACAAGGAGCCCGACACCGAGGACTAAAGACGAGAGGCTATTCACATATATGGTTATTGTCTTTCATCGATTGTAATGACTTCGTTGTTCTGTTTTTGCTCTTTTGGGTTGTTGTCTCATGAGCTTGTTCATTTGTCTATGAAGAAGAAGGAAGATAAAGTTTGATGGATGTTTTATCCTAACAGACTGAGTAAATCGACTACTTGTGTATGTGTGTGTGTGTGTGTTGTTTAAAATGAATCATTTCTGCTGGGATGATGAAGTCAGCACTTTTGCATTTCTGGTTACCTCGTCCCAAAGTCAATGGTAATAATTTATTTATTGTACAGCTCAGTGTATCAAAATATCCTAAAAGCTGGGTTCATTTTAAAGCATTGTACACACATTATATAATACATATTTGGATGAAATACCGTTTTATTTATCATCTTAATCCGTTTCTTGAGAAGCTACAACCCCCCCCCCACCAATCCCCCCAATTTTATTTTACCTTTATTTAACCAGGTCCAAGTCCCATTGAGATTGAGATCTCATTTTCAAGGGCGACCTGGCCAAGAAGGCAGCAGCACACGTGGATGGAGGATCGATAAAGCCATATCATATTCCTCCCCCTCCCCCCCCCACAGTTCTCTCTCCACAACTCTCTCCTCCTGTGTCCCATCTGAGTGCCGTAACCTACATCTCGTGGTCTTGGCGAGGCTGCGCTGTGCAGTCCCCCCGGGCTGCCCGTCTCTAAAAAAAGACTTGAGCGTGCGAGAACCGGGAGGAGAGGCGGGGAAGCGAAGATGGCTGGGACACGTTAATCTTTAATACCTAGAGAAACTAAAATAACCTCTGAGGCGGTTAAAAGCACACTGTCTATGATTGCGGGGGCCGGCGCGCGCTACCTGGCAAGGCCAACGGAACACGCTCGGTAACGCCTAATGAGATTAATTACAGCCAGGGAGACGGCGGCGTGGTCACGGCGGGAGTTCAAACACTCACTCGCAACCGTCGGAGTCGGCTCTGGGGCGGTGAAAGGTGTGTTGCTCATGCGGAGGCGGTTTCGCTCATTTAGAACCCATTAACGTGTTGCTCATCGGTGACGCCTGGTGTTGCTGTGTGTGTGTTTACAGAAACAACGCCACGGCCCCTCATCGTCTATTAACATGAATCTAAACGGTTCTCTCTACAACATCCCACAATCTGAATTTAAGCCTAAACAATAGGTTAAAAAAAGTGTACAATTATTACACTTCATTGAGTCTGAATTAGGTAGAAGAAAAGAAGACTTGCACAGGGAGGAGAACCCGGCCTTAAAGATGTTTGAAGAGCATTCACAATAATCCGCTGGAAAACACGGATATTGCAAAAAGACAGGACTCCTTTAGAGTGCAGGAAATGAACCGGTACACTGAGAAAGAGGGAGACCAAGCAGATAGACCATCATCTGGTTACGCCTTCTTCTGCCTTATCAAACACCAGAGCAGTTCAATAAGACCACGTGTTGAATTAGTTTGACAACACTGAGCGATGCATCCATGCTTATATTATTATTATTTTACTATTCATTCTGTAAATCGAGCTGAATGAGAGAGAAGCTCGTAGGATTCCCTGAAGACTTTTATACGTAGCCACAACAACTCAATGGCGCTTGTGAGACGTTGAGTTCATATACACCCCCCCCCCCTCCACACCCCTCCCTCCACCGAAGGAAACAGCAATATAAATTGGGGTAAAAGCAAATGTTGCAAAGAAAGCCAAGAAAGCGCCTGACCCCCAAAAACAAGTTTGGTTGCCACAGGAGTGTTGTTCACCTCGGTCGCCCGAGGATCATTATTCTCAGTGGGGCAGAGGACGGATTACTAGTGTGTGAGAGAGAGAGAGAGAGAAAGTGGTTGCCTGCTGGTGCTCCTTTGTTTGTTTGCTAAGACAACAAGTCAGGCTGTGATTTGAATAATGAGATGAGGGGGGGGGGGGCGGCAGACATCTTCCCCTGCAGCAAAGGGTGCCGAAAACCGGTGAAGGGCAAAATGAAAGATGACACTGTTAATTAAGCGCCAGAAATATAGAGGCAGGATCTACCAGCCTGGTTGGAGTGCATCCAGTCTGAACGAACCCGATGAGAAGTCTACCCTCTATGTGTGCTGATCCTTTTCCTAATGTGTCTTCAAGGGACAATAGGAGCACCGTGTGGTTGGTAGCCTGAAGCCACAGAGGCGTCTACTTAATCTGCAGCAGCAAAGCAGGCGTGCAGCTCCCCGATGCACGGTTACAAAATGCAGATACACAATAAATCAAGGCGGCTAACCTCGGTGTTTCATTTTGTAAATCGTGGTCCATTTAGGCAGGAACTTTAACAGTTCATAAAAGCTCAAAAACAACATTTTAAAGCAAAACAGCAAGAAGTGATCATGTCCACTTCTTAAGCACCGGCTCTGCCAGCAGACACTTACAGACTCAGACGCTGTTGTTTCCTGGACATTCAACAGATGCTGGTGAAGTGCTAGTATTTTAACTGTCACAGCTAGTCTGTGCCTGGAGCACCCAATCAGCTGCCAGGAATCACACCGACCAATTACACGCGTTCCAGATCCTCTCACGTGACATCGAATGACTATATATTTATTTATAATAATAATTCATCCAAATCAACTGGGAAGCATCTTAATGTTAATACATCTGCACCGCAAAATCCTTCTCAATATCTTGTGTGGCCCCCACGTGCTCGTACGCATGCTTGACAACGTCGCGGCATGCTCCTAATGAGACGACGGAGGGTGTCCTGTGGGATGTCCCGGGAGATGTCCTCCCAGATCTGTCTAAGAACTAACAACAGCTGAAATGGGAGTTTGGTTCAGAGAGAAAAAACAACCTCACACTGCTTTCCACAAAGCGTTTCCTCAGATATCTGTTACGTCGATCACTTCACGTCTGTGGCACGAGTGAACAACCACAAGCGGCTCCTCCCCCCCCACTCAAATCTTTGTCTCACACGCCTCCTTCCATCCCTCTCCCCCTCCCTCTCTCCAGACTCCGTCCTACTAAATCCATTTGGTAATTGGCTATGCGGCTGCGCCTCCGTATAAAACCACGGCAACGGGAGACTCATCCCAGATGTCAGCTGCCACACCCAAAGCAGGACAGAGGATTTACAGCACACACACACACACACACACACACACACACACACACATTACATCACCAGTAATTTGTTAGATCATGAGGGTTGCATTCAATTCGGTGCAATAAAAATATATCATCCCTGAGGGGCCATCAGGGAGGAAAGCCGCATGACTAATGTGGGAACATGGTGTGGCTGAGAGGTTGGCTCATCCCAGTTTCCTCCTCAGAGTTCGTGAAATAAGGACCGAATACATTCCCTTGTCCTCTAATCTGTAGGCCAATGTCACCCTCTGCTTCCCGCTTCTTCTTTCACACCTGCTTCTCACACACACATGCACAGCCCTCGCTCTCTGCATGCATCTCTGGCAGATCGGACGGGAGCTCAGCGTGGACTAATGACTTATTCAGCCGCGTAGCCTCCATACACCGCTTAAGAAAATAAGAAGGTCCCTTCCCTCTGCGGCATCGGCGAAGCAGCACGTTGAAACACGGTGCGACTCTCGCAGCGCCTTATATATATATATATATACCTAGAGTTGTAGAGTTTGCACGCTGTACACCAGTCCCAGATTGTCAATGTATACATACACACGAATCGCCTGAAGCAGCTGACCAAGAGAGACCAGAATTGGTCATGCACCCAAGCTGACACCCCAGCACAGATATGACCAGAGGTTCAACCCACCCGTAATGATTTACACTTTCCCTATATGCACGCTAATCAGCCTCAAATGTTTCCCGTTACAACGTATGAATAAAAGGTGATTTATGGGCAAAGATCTGCTTATAAAGTAGGGAAAAACGTCTGGCTGTGCATGTCGGTAAAAACTATTTTGGGCCCTCCATTATAAATTATATAACATATTAACAATGAGCCAAAAAAAGAGCCACTGGCATCAACAACTAAGAGAAGCTAATTTAATTTAGCTAAAACCTCCTGCTGCCTGGGGGGGGGAGGAGGGGGCTTAAATGAGATTGATGTCACTTAGGGAAACCTGCGCTCGCTCTGGACTTATTGGTCTGATAACTGGAACCTACTGCAGATGGAATTAAATCAACTGAGCCTTTAGAGAAAAGGTAAATTGAGAGACCCACTGGCGACGTGTGTGTGTGTGTGTGTGTCTGTCTGATGGTGCATTTTCCCCATCTAGGTTTCTGCCACTCCACTGGCAAAAGCAGGCCCACGTTAAGGTTTCAGGGAGGTTGAAAAGGGGCTTAAATCTAATTAAAGTAGACATTAATGGCCTGTCAAAGTGCGTCACATACACAGACGCTGACCAGCAGCGCGCACACTTAACTGAAGTAGTGTATGCTGCAGGGGCACGCAGCGCTGTCAGAAGAGACCACCGTCAGGGATGGTTCCATATGCAGATCTAAACACATCCTCCAGGCTCCTTCTAATTCAATCTCAACCGAATAACAATACTAGCTTCAATTTTGGAAAATGTATTGATGACAATTTGCGCATTGGCCTTTTTATTCAAAAGCCCGACTGGTCACTTCTCACTTGGGGAGTGTTGTATTAGTGACGAGGGAGCCGGTTCTTGCCGGCCTTCAACAATGCACGCTGTGTATCACAGTCAGATTACTATTATGCTCTTTTGTAATCTGTTTTAATTAGATGTTTGCACATCAACCATTGTATAAAGCTATAATCTGAGTGTAATCCAACTGCTACTCGTGGCACATGGAGAGTGTATGCGTGGCGACCGGAGGGGTTTTCATGTGAAACACCTTACGGTCATGAGGAAGGAACCGGCCGGCGACTTTGTGCGTTATGCTAGTCTGAGGACTGAACAGAATAGAAGATGAACCTTTTTAATATATATTTAAATAATCCTACACAACATAAAAAAGCATTTTGATAGGCATCCTCTCCATTTTCTATTTGTCTGTTTGGAAATCTGGCAAGAAAGCAAATAAGCGCCACTATCCCTTTGAAGAGCGTCGCCTGCAGCTTGGTGGTCATTCTACCGCCTTTCTATTCGCAGTAACAAGTTGGCTGAAAATGGTCCAAACATGCATAACTCAAGTGCTTCTTCCCAAACAAAGTGCCCACACTGACTTTACCGACATGGTGACACATTGGGCGTCATACCACGCAGCGAGGAAGTCTCAAAGACAAACTAACAAGGCAGCGGCGAGATGAACGCCTTGTGGACAAAGCAACCGATCGGATCGCTATCTCCCAGTCTCAAGACAAAGGCCTCCTTCAAGTCCCCTGCGCTGGTCGAGCCACCTGACTCGGGTGAGGAACACAAGGTGACTCGCACACACACTCTCGCACTACATGGTGGTAAACAGAAACGCTCGCTCGGGGGAAACGAAAACGCCCTTGTTTGCGCCGCCTCCTCGTTCACTGAACTTGTTTTATTAATCATGCTGCTGTGTGGCTCTGGCTGACGGCGTTCCGCTCAGGCTTGTTCTGACTTCGGCTCGTGGCTGGCCTACTTACGCCCGGCCCTTGCAGGCCTCGATGTGGGGGATCATTGTTCCTCGCTCCTTTGGGCCATTTTTTTCCCTCCCTCAAACAGTGTCATCTTTGAAGCGGGTGGCTTCTCACTCGGGGCTGATTAATGATTCATAATGGTGTACAGAGCTGAAATTATTATCTATCTGACCATTTATTCAGATTTTCTGCTGGAGCAAATTGGCAGGTTTGCTCCCAAATCATTGGAACGGCTTTAAAGGAAACAGAGAATGTCTAAGAAAGAGGACCAATCTCCACAGATGGCTGCTTGTGCCGTCTCCAGACGCTGCCGTGTCACACTCTACCTGGTTGTCTTGGCAACAAAGGGCTTGGGTGGAGCAGCAGCGCTCGGCTTGGTGGGAGTTGCAGAGGCGGCCTTGGAAACTGGAGAAGAGGAACGAAGAGGAGAGGACAGGGGATGAGAGGAGAAGAACAGTATAAGAACTATACATCACAGTGTACAACAGTTTACAGATTGTATATAACCGATGTGGGTCACACAATCAGGAAGTAGGACCGCGTGTACGATGTGTGCGCTGACTCCATCCTGTGTCCTGTATCTATCCACATGTCATCGCATAGCTGGTAGTAAATAAAGCTTACGCTTATAGTTTATTCATTTTTTAAACTTCTAAACAGCCTACAATCGGAATTACACTTCCTTTGCTTCGTGCTGACATTTTACACCAACCTGGGGGCTTTTTGGCAGCTGCAGCAGCGGTGCCACTTTTGACACCAGCAGCGGTTGCAGGCGCCGTCTTCTTGGCTGCCGCTGTTGTTGTTGTTGTTGTTCCGGTCATCGGCTTTGCGTCATTGCCTGTGGGTTTCTTCTCACCTAGTTTGCTCTTGGCTGCCGGGGCTGTTGGTTTTTTAGCCGGAGCTGCGGCGCTCTTATTCACCGCCGCGGGGACAGTTTTCTTCGCCACCCCATTGGTCTGGGGCTTAGACACGCCATTTGAGAGGCGGCTCTGGGATGTGTTGGGCCGGGATCCAAGCGTGGTCTTGGTGGAGCCCGTGGGTCCGGGTTTCGTCTTGGCCGTTGCCTTGTTGGTCGGATGGGCTTTAGAGTCTCCGGACGTTTTGTTTGTGGTCTTGGCAGCCGGGGTGTCCTTTGCCGGGTCCGGCTTTGGTTCTGCCTGGTCCATCTCGGCGGCGGGCTGCTGTGGCATCTCCCCCTCCGCAGGACTGGCAGCCTGGTTGGGCTCCTGTCCCGCCGCCTCATTCGCTGGATTGGATTCCATCGTTTCCATGGGCTCCAACGCCACCAGGGCAACCCCATCCGGCTTCATCGCTCCTTGAGTGGTGGCGGTCAGTCTCTGGAAAGCAGGGGGGAAGGGGGAGGGGGGGCCGACTCAAATCTCACAGGATGGCCACGGGGGTCTTCGGGCTTTTCCGGAGGACAGCGAGGTCTGGTCTGGAGAGAGACGGGAGGACAATGTACAGTTACGTCAACAGCAAGACCAGACACGAAAAGCAGTCTCTCCTATCAGCACCAAGAATGTTGTCAATCCCCGGGAATCAGATAGTGATGGCTTGTATCGTCTTGCAGCTTCAGCATCGCAGAGACACACACAAGCGTAAACAGAAGAGTCAAACCCAAATGGAGTATGATGGGCGATTACACTGTGTAGATTAAACTGCCGCATAAACCCGAGAGGACTGAGGCTCTTCTAAGACAGTGTCACAAGCGCAGAAAGACAAGCATCATAAATGACAGCTTTACAAGTCACGTGGGAGGGAAACCGCAGGTCCAACAACTACACAAACCCATTTCAGGTTACTTCCTGCATTCAGAACGATAGGCAAAAGAGGACACGTCTGCTGCAGAAGAGAGAAAAAAAGTCCCACATCCTACAAATATCCTTAATCATTTCCGATGTCGCCTGCACTGCAGTGGCAATCAGTCTCTGTGGAAGCGCAGAGCTCAGTCACGCACTTGGCACAAAGCGCTACGGGTTGCATCCGGGATTTTTTAAATCTTCATTTAGCAAAATGGCTTCAGAGTCACGAGTGTGGAAGGCTGGTTTTCCAGGATAGTACACTTAAGGAGAGCGCTCCGAAAAAGGTTTGGCCCGCAAACTCAACACGCATAAACACCAGCTGTAATAACGTTAAGACTCAGGGTTTTACTGGATCTGCACATGGATAAAAAGACTGTTTCGCACTATTAGGCCAAAATGGCTTTGGGAAAGAAAGCCGGGTGGCGTGGGAAACGGAATCAGATGTGTTTGCTGCGATACAACCAAGAGACGGGCGCAAAGGACCACACAAGGGGGGGGGAGTTAAGGAGACAAGTGGGATGTGAAGCAAGCGGGGACGGATGACAGGGCAACCGCCAGTGAGACATGCAGTCAAACGACGTCCGCCGCGATATTAGAAAAACTGTCTCTTATTTAGCTTCCTTGCTCGCAGCGGCAAGAAGGACAAAGGGGAAACTTGAGGGGAGAGGTGGGGGAAAGTGTGGGTGGGTGGAGCAGGAAACTGGCTTGTTAAGAGTTTACAAACAGACCGGGGGGGGCCCGAGAGGCGACACAGGGGCCGGTGGAGCATGGGAACAGAATTCATCACAACAGACACAAAAACAAAGATGTCCGATGAGCTCATCGTTCGGCCGGTCATCCTCGTTTCCACTGACCTAACGGCGCACACGCCTGCTGTCCTATTTCTAGCAGGGGACAGACATCATCTTTATGCTCCTGGAAACAATTCCCTTCCTCTAATGCGCTCACTCAAATCTTTCTTTCCCTCTTTCCGTCATCAGTTACTCATCCTTCAGAATGAAATCTCACATGTCAAAAGGCCTTCTTTCTTTTGCCCTCCCTTTGCTTCAACCCCCCCCCCGCCATCCCCCAAACCCTCTCCTCCATCCCTCTGTTCTCTGTTTTGCCTTTACACAGATGGCCGGAGCAGCTGAGGAGGACCGGAGGGGGTGAAACGGAGATAAAACAAACAAAAAAAACGCGAATTGATACACGAGATACACACAGCTAGTGCAACAAGCCGTCACCCCCACTCTCCAAAAACCAAGGGGCAGACGACGGGTAGCACAGAGACATTCGCGCCCTTTGGTTGGTCGCAAGGGGAATGTGGACAGTTGGCTGAATCATGTTACTACCCAAGGCCAGTGTTGGGGTGACTAGTACGGCAAATGGAGGGTAGAATGGTTTGTTTACACTGCTTGTTTTTGGTTTATTTTAACAAGTAGATCCTTAGGAGATGAGCTTGGTACTTGTGTGTGCAAAGCAGGTTCTGAAAAGTGTATTAACCTTGCATTCTCTCTTATGGACATTTGGGGGGGGCTATAGTCAGATTGTATATATGTATAAGTCTATGACAAAATGACTCGATTTATTACATTATAAACATGAGTGTATGTTCTCAATCTCTAGTTTAAAGTCTTTTTCAAGACAGCCTGATGTTCATTCCACTGAAAGTAAAATAGACCATACTGCATGTTGGTACCACACGGTCTGGGAGCCTTCACCCTTTCAGTGAGTTATCAGTTCATGAACTAAGCTCCGCCTTCTAGACTCACTTCCGGTTGCAAAAAAATGACAAACTATAGGCTTTAAAACCGCTGTCCACAAACCAGTGGGAGACGTCACCATGACGACGTCCACTTCTTACATACAGTTGACGGTTAGCACCAAATGTACAGTCTAAGTGACACATAGATCATTACGTTTACTCTTCCCAAACCCCTAAAACAAGCACGCCACTGATTGAAACCGTATGCGGTGAACCAGGAAATAAGAGCGCCTGTCCACTTGCCATTCCATCCTTTCCATTTGTTTCTACTGATGTTCAGCTCTTCCCACCCTGGACTAAACCACCCGGCACCGCTGCTGCATGCGATAAATCCCCACGGCCACATTTCCCTTTTCTCCTGCAAGTCTCCAGACAGCGGTGATATTGCACGTCTCGCTCGCTTTGGCTCCACTGCTCATTCACCGGGCCTCTTACGTCATTCGCACCATTGCTCATTGTCCAGCGTAGACAGGCTAGCAACCGGGGCCAGAGCATACTCCACTCTCCACTCAGACTGGAGGTCGACGTGAGCGCAATAAAGAAATTGTGTGTGTTTCTATTGAAAAGGCTTTGTATTATCAGGATTTTTTCCCCCTCTAATTAACGCAGCACTCTGGAGTAAAACATCTAACCCAATTAAGGCTATTACAAATTTTCATTCAACCTAATTAGATTAGTTATTAGAGTTATTGGGAGAGAGCTGGCTAATCTGAGGGAAAGCATTTGGTGAGGGTTTGAAAAACGATAAGTCAGCCGATTACAGAAACTGTGATGGTGACGCCGCTGTGCACTGGGCAGCTGAACTGTAGCGTCTAACAAGAGTAGCTCCAAATTGTTTTATGCTACTTGGATATCGCTGAGAAATCCTTGTTTTCACGACCTGCTGCTTCACATTCAGAATATTACACACATCTGTACCGACGCGGTTTGTGGCACAACTTGGGATTCCTCCATTAACGACTCAGCAGCTGGATGTCAACCGGCAACCAGGTTCATTGGCACCTCAGCTAGAGGTCACTGCGGGTTTACATTTATAAAAAAGGTCCAATATTTACTATAAATGCTAAACCAATACCGTGAATCGCAGCGCTCAACCCAGACACTACCTTTATAAATATATACAATTATACAATCAATAGACCACTTCATACTTTTAAATGTGTCAGTTCATTTTCAAGGGTCGGCGCTCTTTCGAATAAAATCAGCTGACAGGAAGTAAACCCAGTCAAACTCACAACAGATGTTTTTGGGCCCCGGGTGAATTAATTCAGACTGACCGCATGAGAAAGAATAAAAGGTTTTGTCAAGGTATTGATGAGGAAATGGGAAAGACGTCTCCTTTAAGAGGGTCACAATGGCAATTCTCTACCACTCGTTACATAATGACGCACCGGAGGCCATTCATCCATGATGAAGCCTCTTTAGTGACATGATGCATAACTGCGTGTGAGCTCGTGCACATTTCCAGCAGCTGATTCCAGACAGATGGCCGTGTCGGCTGAATTAGGTCCCAAACATTTAGCAACAGTGTGAACTGTTCAGAATATTAAATGACTTCATCGGAGAACTGCTGTTCATCCGACATTGAGACGACGCAGCCCATCGGCTGTCTTGACCTCCTGCGAACCGAGCGACACACACACACACAAAATGGCTGCGTTAAGAGAGCAAACTATGTCAACGCGCTGCAGTTGTCCTGGGCCTCTGCTAGCTACCAAACAATAGCTGGAGACAGAACAGAGCGGCAAGGAACTGGAGTCTTACATTTTGAGATTTTGAATGTAGTCGACTTTGCAAAAATGTGTTTGTTGGCCTTTGTGTCGGGTTCAAATGTTGCGGTTGCAGCGCACAAGCAGGCTTCCCCCTCCAAATTCCCAGCGAGCCTCAACGATGAGCTACGCGGTAACCGGAAACACACACAAACACCACCAGAAAGACCAGCGACACACACAGTTTACATTCTTTGTAAGAAAATGGTTGGTCCGATCATCGACTCGCCCACATTCTCTTAAAAGTACTTTGATGGGCTGATTTCATGTAACAGCCTTCGTTTCTGCTACACACTCATATTACATATTGCATCTGCATTTGTGTATATATCATTTTAAATCTCTCATGCTGTTTACCTATTCTTTTTTGCTTTATTTCTATGTTGTTCTTCTTATCGGCACTTAATGGGCCTCCAGCAATGAGCTAATGATGGCCAAGCCAGCTCTAGAAGGTGTTCAAACTAAATGTGCGTGTCTATCCATGCCTATACTGTAAACAACTGGAAGGCATCCAGCTCCTCTGAGGGATCTCAGCTTCAGCGACTGTCTAGACATGAAAAACGCTCTTCCTGAATAATCAGCTCATCAGCCTATTTGAAACAGAAAACTACTTTGACCCCAGTCACAGTTTTTCTTTGCATCAAGTACAACAATCTACTACTGTGTGGGAGTGTGTGTGTGTGCGAGGGAGGGGGTCACATGCACCAAACATGCCCGTTTAGAAAACAGCAGGTCGTCACATTTAAAGAGGCTCTCAGGAAAATACCATTATGCAAATAATGAGGCTAAATATTGAGTTAATCAGATCTGCTGTGAGGCCGTGGTGCGTGTTAGCGTTGGATCACGTCCACTGTCAGTGAGAGAGGACCGACCCTCGTCTCCACACAAAGGGCCCGACTCTAGCGCGCTCTAACCCCGCCCACGCGGGGCCACGCACAAATCGCCGCGGCAGAGGTCGGCCGGGGTTTTTCACAGCACGCAACTGTGTACACGAGCACGTGCGTTCTGTGAGCACCCTTCTGTCCCCGGGGCCTACTCTAAATAGCAGTCAAAGAGAAGGATTGTGGGGGGGGTCGGGAGGAGGAGGATGCGGCGGCGGCAGTAGGGGGTTGGGCGG